GGACCGGAATTCACATGAGAATGCGAAGACCAAATGAAACAAAAGTACCCTCACTTATTCTCGCATTCCGAAATCTAGTTTCAAAAAGATTTTCGGGACGAAATTCCCTCTAACGGGGGGATGATGTCACAACTAGGAAATTCCATGCTTTTGTAACAACAATGATGATAACACTTGTAAACAAATTTGGAAAACATGCATGATGATTATTCAATGACAACAAAATTTCCATCAAACACCCTATACAAACACTTCAAATAGTCAACAAAAGGTTGGAAACCCTAAAAATCCCGGTTTAAGTCCAGTATGGACTAGGATTTCCTTATTGGGCCTAATGGACCAATAAGCTTCCAATTTGACTATTTTGGGTTTAGAACTCTTAAATGGGTTCTAGTGGGGACCCATCTTCATGAGACTTAACATTTTGGGCCATATTGGGCCTAAAATGGAATAAACTACTCCAATAAGCCTTATTGGGCCATGACTAATCTAATTAGCCCTAATGGGCCACAAACCTATTCTATTATGCTAAATGGGCCGTGAACCATCCAAAGGAGCCCAATGGGCTGAAAACTTTTTCTAGGAACCTCATGATTTCGAACATAGGCTAGAAGTGGGCCAAATTAATCCATGTTCCTTTTACCAAGCCCAACTCGGCCCATTATATAAAAAAAAATAATACATATTAACAATAGAGATTAGGCTAACCAAAACATGACACATCTTTATTGTTTGGAGGATAACCAAGTTAATACATCACATGCATCTAGACAAAACACATATATCCATGCACACTCTTCTCTCTTCTTCTTATTACCTCTCGGCCGAGAGCTAGCAACACATACACACACATCTTCACTTACATTTCAAACACTCTCAAGAACACATCTTCTTCCTTCTCTCCAATTTTCGAGATCTAGGGCATTTCAAGAAGGTTTTCATCCAAAACTCACTTCAAGATACATACTTGTGGTAAGATCTTGCCAACATAATTTCTTTCTACACTTAATCACTCTTCTTACCACCTTAAATTCTTGATCATACTCCCTAGAAACTCTTCAAATTCGAAGGTCTCTTCAAGAAGATTGTTAGGGCCGAGAATCTCATCAATCTTTTCCATCTTCTTCAAAACCGAAACATCAAACCCCAAGGTGAGTTCATACCCCCTTGTTTTCGGTTTTTACTTGTTTTTTGGGGGAGAATACAAGTGCTATGTGTTGATCTATGTGTGTATGCTTGTTATATGTGATTTCTTTGGTTTTGTGTTGTGAAAATATGATATTATTCGCTATATCTTGAAATCTATGGCTAAAGTGTGAAGGATACATAAACAAACAACATAATAAACAACATACTTCAAATATCTAAGAGTCTTAGGCTTAAGAAGTAAAAAAAAGAAAAAAAAAATCCTTAAAAAGTGTCATTTTTGCAAAAATAACAAAGATTTGGGTAAAATATGATATTTTCGGTTTGTCAAGGATAAAATAGTATATTTCATAAAAATCTGACTTTTATGAAAATAACACTTTTCTAGGGGTAAAAAACATAAAGTATAGTTTATTGGGCTTACATTTGGGCCTCACGGGTTTTTGGGCCCAAAGTTGCGAAAAATGAAGACTTTTGGGGGCTGAAGTGGTAAACTTACCAAACTATGAGTCTAAAACGTGAATAAACTATTTTAGGGGCTGAAATTGACTTTGATGCAAAGATTGGACTAAAAATGCAAAGTTTTTGATTTTGGGGTCAAAATTGTAAAACTTACGGAATTTGAGCCAAAAATGTAAACTTTTTACAAATAAAGGCTGGAAATGACAAATACAATAGTTTTGGGCCGAAATTATTATTTAAATAAATTTTGGGTCGAAAATGTCAAGAAAAATGGTTTAAGGACCAAAAATGTCAATTTTCATGAAAAGGGACTAAAAGTGCCATTTTTATAGATAAAGAGGCTGGAATGGTCAAAGTAAATATTTTTGGACCAAATAGGCTAATATTAAATTATTGGGTTAAAAATATTAAGTTTATAACGCATGATTTTTAAATGTTTATATATATATATATATATATATATATATATATATATATATATATATATATATATCTTATATATATATATATTATATATATTCAACCAAAGTTTCGTTATAAAGCAAACGTCAAAGAATTTTTAACATTGCGAATAAACATTTAGCACACAACAACTCTTATACTACAAACTTACATCGATAAACAGCTAAACGATACAATGATTGGGCCCAACATTCTCTATCATGCTTATTGGGCCTTTATGACCCAATTTCATGATTATTGGGCCTAATAAAATCAACACATGTTTGTTGGGCTTCCGGTGACCCAATTACATGCTTGAATGGACCCTTGTTAGCTTTTACATGCTATTGGGCCTTAGTGGCCCATTTGCATTGCTAATACGGTCCAAATAACTTATCATATGCTCGATGGGCTATAACGTGTCCATAGCATACTCGACAGCCTGTAATAACATACAAAGTTAGTGGGTCTCCGTCGTCCTCTTTCTTGTCTGTTAGGCTTACTTCATATTCACGTAAACATCAAACGGGAAGTAATCAATGTTATTCAAATTCATGGGGTAATAATTGGGATTTAGTGAGAATTATCGGTTGGCACCAACGAGTGTCGGTCGTAGCCTGTAGTTATAATCAGAGTCTCCTGGAGGGAGAGCGAGTTTGTGTATAGATCTATACGGGGGTGACTCCCCCACACCTGAGTTGTTCGCTACAGTTAGACTCGGCCAGTCTAGGGTGACAAAATCTTAATTCAAAACCGACATTTGGTAAAATGTCAAGACATGCGAAATAGTCATTATTATGCATGGTTATAACGACTAACTTAGAGATCCATTACCATATCATCATTAATGAGAAATCATATTCATACACTGTGGCGATGCAAAGTGATTTATACAATAATACAAAACTATCATACTATTTAAATTGGAAAACATCGGGTTTTCCGGGGAACGGCATTATTCACTTTTACATACAACAACTACAATACAAAGAACAATTATGATGAACATTCACTTTTACATGTTTTGAAATCACATACATATACACTTGTGGGATCATCACATCTTTTTCGTAAACAGTTTTTGATACAGAAAATATCGGATTTTCTGGGTTTTCAAACGATACAAAACATTTTCACATCAAACCTGCTTATGAACTCACCAACATTATATATGTTGACCGTTTTCAAAATAACTTGTGTTCTCAGGTAACCGTTAGAATGAAGAATTACCAAGCGTGTTTCTGAACTTCTTTTGTGTGATGTCAACTGATAAACAATTTATGTGCTGAATTATGTAATGTAAACAATGTACTTGATGTGAACAATGACGATTGTAATGTATTAATGCATGGTGATGTTTATGTTATGTTTCATGTATATTCATTGTGATGATATATTCAATTTAAGTCACACGAGCCCTCGGACGTTTCCGTCGTCTGGTTTGGGGGTGTGACAATAGATTTTTTATTTGTATATATTGAATTACTTATTTATTCATCATTTTGTTTGTATTTATTTCGAAATTTTAATTTAAAAAATACTTAATGTTTAAACTTTGATATTTTATTTTTTATTTAACCATTCCGTGTAGTATACCGGGTCTTATACCTAGTGTGATTGATAGACAACAAAACCATCCAAAGGGTTACATTTATAAACCTATTTTTTTTTTAAGACAAAACCATTATTTCTTGACAAAAATAAAAGATTTCTATGTCAATATCTTAATTTTATAATTAACATCAAGGAATGAAGTTATGATAGTTTATTACATTTTGGCAAAATGCTTGATTTTAAGTCGAGTTGATGATTTTTTTGATACTTAGTCTTCACCATAGATTTTATTGCGATTGTAGTTTATCGGTTACGGTTTATGCGGTTAATTTTAGTTGCGGTGTGTTTTTGCTCATCCCTACTTAATATACAATTTTTAGGGTTTTTGTGAGAATTTTGATTATAAATATGATTTTTTTTAGTATTTAGAAAACAATTAATTTACTATAGAAAGAAAAGAACAAAAAATCTTAGATCAACATAAGATAGACGGCGTGTTGCCGTGATCCAAATTCCCAATACAAATCGTGCGACTTCTTCATAAAATTCTACAAATAAAACCTAAATCCTAAAAACTATGATAATACACACTTGTAACAAGAAAAAAAATTGACATTTTTTTTGTTCAAACTCAAACTCTATATCAACCGATTCGAACATAGTTAGTAGGGGTGGAAATTATTTGGTCCGGAACCAAAAAACTCGAAAACCAAATTGAACCGAAATCGATTTCAGACCGAACCATATTCAAATTCGGTTTTTGGTTTGGTTTGAGACCAAACCGAATTGTAAATTTGGTTTTTGGTTCGAGTTTCGGTCTCATGAAGTTTAAACCAAACCGAAAAACCGAATTTCATAAATCAATTAATTAAAAAATATATTTTATATTTTATATCAAAAAGTATTAATTATAAAGTAAAAATCATTTTAACCCATTTATAAAGTAAAAACTTCAGATCTTTCTGTTTGCGATTTTAAGTTTCTGTTAAAAATATTTTAATTTATGTTTGAATTTTTTTTAAGTTAATATTTGGCATCCTCGATTTTCAAACCGAATTAGAATTCGGTTTTCGATTTGGTCTAGAGAATTTGAATTCGATTTGGTTTGGTTTTCGAATGGACAAAAAAAATTTAATCCGAAAAACCGATTCGTGGAAACCGAAAAACCAAAAAACTGAACCTATTCCCACCCTAAATAGTTATTTGAACTTTGAAGCAGTTAGGTTTAAATCATTCACGTTGAAAGATACGCGTCTATAACACAGCGATCGATTGCATGTTCTCCAAGTGTGCATTTGATTGACACGTGTACATATCTATTCATCACAATCCCTACAAAACTCTCCTTCATCTTTATCGTCTCTGTTTTCAGTTTTCATATCCATAAACCATAGAAAATGTACACAATTTCGTCTACTTTCATGAAGAAATGTATCCCTAAACCTGCAATTTATTCACTTGCCGAAATCGCCAAACCCACCTTTCTACCACCTCTCTCCGCCCTAAAACTAGCTAACAATCCACCGGATATCTCCTTAAAAAATCCACCGGAATTCCCATCTAAGCCACCACCGGAGCTTGATTTCAGTGTGCCACAGGAGTTGCCAAGAACGCCAAACGTCCCTGACTTCGATCCCATTCCTCCCGAAAAGCCGGCGGATCCTCCCCCGCTTTCACCAAATCCGACACCAGAGTTTCCAGGGCCACCGAATCCAGATCCGGAGATCCAACCACCAGGGCCGGAGATCCCAGAGCCGCCAATGACTCCTGGTGGTCCTGAGGTGGTTCCACCAACAACACCGGAATGGATGCCGCCGAAGCCGCCGGATGTGGGGCCGGAACATCCAACCTTACCAGATATTCCATTACCTTCTGCTTGATATATGGTCTGCTAAGAAAGTTCAATCAATATGTACATGATAAACCTTTGGTTTCCATACTTTTAGTTGCAGTTTTTGGATTCTTGTGTATAAGAAGATTGTACTTCATGACATGCGTATTCAAATCATTAACACTATACCTACTCTTAACTTTACTTTTGGTTCATGTTTTTTAATCTAGAATGGAACTTTTTATTATTATAACATCTTAAAGATTTTTCCAGAATAATAATAATAATGTTTCCATTACTTCGCATAAGTATCCTTAGGTTGAAAGTATAAGAGTCAATTTTCAGTAATACTATTCATATGAATAGCGAGTAATTTAACAACAAAGAGATTTAACACAACACCCTTGTTAATTAGATGTGACGAGTCAAACCCCTATATAAACATAATGAACAATCAGAACAGTCCCAAAACGCTTTGTACATCATGTAGCTCGTCCCATTATTGATGTAGATGCCTCTTGAGAGATAACTTAATTTTGACTTTGAAATTCCATCTAAAAAAAGACCAAAGATTCCATCTACATGCTTGATAAACACTTCACCAAAAAAGAGAACACACGAACAAGAAAAATAACCGACCCAAGTTTATACAACATGAAAAGAATGGCAGCCCCGCAAAAGTAAAAAGTACTCCAAACATGGCTAAACCTAACCAGGTTTCTAAATCCCAATGAAATAAGACACACCAAAAACTCTAGAATTCGGTAGTAATTGAAATTTTCTTATATGGGAATACAAGATGGTAAACGGCTAGGCTAAATAAAAGAAAAGGATAAAGAAAATAAAAATATAAAAATAAGATATCTTATGATATCGTTTTCAATACTGCTCAAGATGGAGCATGGAGATTCGTAATGCCCATCTTGCCAAGAAGGAATTAAATTTGGGGTGTGCCAAAACCTTTTGTAAGTAAATATGCAATCTGCAGCTTGCTATCAATGGGCATAGGTAGAATATCGTTGGACTCAACTCTTTCATGAACAAAGAAACAGTCTATCTCAACATGTTTTGTCTTTCATGGAACACTGAGTTATTAGTAATGTGTCAAGCGGTCTGGTTATCACACAATAGAGGAGTTGGAGAGTCGATGACAATTTCAAAATCCTGTAGCAACCATCGAACCCATAATATTTCACTAACAATAGAAGCCATAGCCCTATATTCAATTTCTGCAGAGGATCGGAAGACAACCGATTGCTTCTTTGTTTTCCAAGAAATAGGAGCACCTCCAAGCATAAGCAAGTAACCCGTCCTCGAGCGTCTCGTATAAGGACATCCAAGCCGGTCTAAGTCGCAAAAGGCAGTGAGAATCATATCTCCAACTCGAGGAAGTAGAATTCCTTGTCTTGGTGTACCCTTTAAGTATCTCAAGTTGTGATTGGCAGCTTCCATATGATTACGTCTTGGGTCAGCGACAAACTGACTTAAAATGTTGACAGCATAAGTAATATCGGGATGATTAGATTGGATATAAAGTAAACGTCCAATGAATCGATGATATTGATCGGCATCAACTTGGGCTTCATTTTCTCCTTTGTCAAGGTGTAAGTTTTGCTCGATTGGGAAAGAACTTGGCTTGGATCCTATCATTCCACTATCCTCAAGAATGTCAAGGATGGATTTTCTTTGACTTAAAACGAACCCATCACCAGTCTTCACAACTTCAATAGCAAGAAAGTACTTTATAGGACCAAGATCTTTGATGGTGAATAATTCATCAAGCTGAGTTTTGATATCTTGAATTCGTGCAAAATCATTTCAAACTATAATGAAATCATCCACATAGATTAAAATTGCGATAAAGGACTCTTTTTTCCCGTATATGAACAAGGAGTGATCAGCTTTAGAATGACAGAAATTTAAGCTTACAAGAAAGGTGGTGAACTTGTGATACCAGTTTCGAGAAGCTTGCTTTAATTTGTAGAGAGATTTTTGTAAGCGGCACACCCGTATCTCGCTTTCTTTAGAAAAACCTTGAGGGATTTTCATATACACTTCTTCATCTATATCACCATGACGAACAACGTTATTTACATCAAGCTTTTGGATAGTCCAGTTCTTCTTTGTAGCAACAACTAAGAGAATTCGCACAGTCACTAACTTTGCAACAGGTGCAAAAGTATTGTGATAATCAACACCTTCTATTTGAGTGAACCCCTTTGTGACTAGTAAGGCCTTGTATTGTTCCACGTCTCCATTGGGTTTATATTTTATTTTATAAACCTATTTAGACTCGATAGCATTCTTCCCTTTAGGAAAATTCGTCAAGGTCCAAGTTCCATTCCTTTCAAGCGCATTGATTTCTTATTGCATGGCTTTACGCCAATGTTCATCTTGAGATGCATGCTTAAAACTTTTCGGCTCAACATTGGAAGTGATGGCTGTTAAAAAAACTTTGTGATTATTAGAGAATTTTTCATATGAAATAAAGTTGGAGATAGGTTGTACCGTTGAGGCTTCTCGATCAGAGATGGGTTGCTTATGATTAATCGAACGAGGGAGTTTAACGACATAATCATCAAGGCGATTCGGTTGCGATCTTTGTCTTATTTCTTCTGATCTCGGTTTTCCCCAAAGCTCATTATCTTGCTCGAAATTACCTTGGTTATCATGAGAATCAGATTCCATTGTATTGGGTTCTTCCTCACCGTGTGTTGTAGATTCTGACTCGTTTTGAACATGATCATTAGTGATGGTATCATCGCCATTGTGTGTTTGTTGGTTTTCATCATGTATGGGTTCAACGGTCTGGGATAGTTCATGATCTTCATGGAGCACACTACCATGAAGTTTTATGTGATCTTCATCTCCATAATTCTCATCAGTTTTGATGTTTTTGAAAGGGAATCTATCTTCACAAAACAGAACATCTCTACTTATTATGATTCTTTTGTCTTGAATGTCATAGACTTTGTATCCTTTGGTTCATGTGGGATAACCCAAAAATACACATGGTTTTCCCTTTTCTTCAAACTTATCTCCCTTTAAATTCATATTTTTGATGTAAACAAGAGAGCTAAAAATCCTCATATAACTATATTCAGGTGCTTGATTCCAAACAATCTCATAAGGAGTCTTGTTTTCAATTTCCTTTGAGGGGAGACGATTTATTATGTACGCAGCGGTGAGAATACATTATCCCTAAAACTTTTTTGGTAGCTTTGCTTCAAATCTAAGAGCTCGGGCTGTTTCCAATAAATGTCGATGCTTTCTTTCAACAATGTCATTTTGTTGTGGTGTGTGTGGGCAAGTTGTTTCTAACAAGATTCCATTTTAGTTGTAAAAACTCGACCATGGCATTAGATGTAAATTCTCTGCCATTGTCACAAGTAACCTTCTTGATTTCTTTTCCAAATTGAACTTCAACCATTTTGTGAAAGTCAACAAGACATTTACTAGCATCATTTTTATGTTTGATGAGAAAAACCCATGCTGCCCTACTATGATCATCAATAATGGTGAGAAAATAACTAACTTTTGTAAAAAATGGCACACGATAACCACCCTAAATATCACAATGTATTAAATCAAAATCTGCTTTACTTTTAGTCACACTAATAGGAAAAGGTGTTCGGGCAAGTTTCACCTTTGCACAAGAATCACAAGTTTTATTACTAAGTTCAATAGAATTACTTTAAAAAAATAAACTATAAAAAGATTTCCCTTTGATGCATGTCCCAGTCTTTTGTGCCAAATATCCACAGTAGTCTCTATCGCTCTTCTTTCTTCCATCCCCATTCGATACAATCCCCTTTGCATTTACCCGCTCCAATCAAGTTCCTCGTCCGTAACCCCGATATTACACAAAAATCAGGAAAGAAAGTTACAGCACATTGAAGATCTTTGCTTAAGCGGCTAACGGAAAGAAGATTGCATTTAAAATCAGGAATACAAGGAACTCCATTCACTTTAACTCCCCCTGGGAATGTGCATTAGCCTACCCTTCATGGGAATGGCATCTCCATTTGGTATGACGACTGGTGGTTCAAAGAAAAAAAATTGTTCATGAGGATGTTTGGAGAATGAGTTAAATACGTTGGGTGCAACCCGGGTCAACAATCCATTCTCCTTCCACTCCTTTTTTACCTGCCATGTTTGCAATGCGTCCCGTTCCTTCTTTGTCGCCTATTCCAGAGAAGTGCTTAACAAACAATTTATATTGTTCATTAGTTAAGCCTTGTATGGGACTTGAGTTAGATTTAGTACATGTTGCCTTCAATTTGATCTTTTCTCCCTTCTTTCTGGGCCACCATTCATGATACCCAACAAGATTGAAGCACCCTTCACCTTTGTGATCGTTCCTCCCGCAAAATGTACAATGCTCATTTTCTTTGCCATCTTTCACATTCTTTGAATAACTTCTTTCGTTTGTTTGGTTGACGGCATTGTAATCATGCCTCTGTGAAGTCTTGAACGCAGCTACTTCGGGTGGTGCTCTCTTGTCACTGGAAATAGCCCTTTGTCTCTCATCTCTCACGACCATATGGTAGGAAGTTCCCAAGGAAGGTGTTGGTTTTGTTGCCAAAAATTGAGTTTTGATCACAGTAAAATCAACATCCAAGCCCATAAGGAACTCGTACATCCGTTCCTTTTCTTGGTATACCATCATGTTATTGCTAATATCACAATCACATTTATCACATTCACAACAAGGAAGGGGCTGAATTGACTCAGTTTCATCCTAGAACGATCGAAGATTGGTATAAATGGGTTGATACAGATGCACCGTCTTATCTGGTGCTAGAAATCTTTTGTTTCAATTCCTAGGTACGAGGAGCGCTTTCTTTTCCAAACTTCTCAAGAAGATCCATCCATGGTGGTGGGAATCCATCCTTTTATCATTGCGTCACATCGCATCAAGGGCATGTAGTTGACGAATCCTTTTTCTGGTTTCTTAATAGTATCGTCAACAAACTCAAGTTTGTTTTTGACAAAGAGAAAATTCCCCATCTCTTGTGACCAATTTGAGTAATTGCTGACAGTGAGAAT